GCAAATGTGCCTTACGCCCCTGGCGCTGCGCTGGGTCGCTGGGGGCCGTGGGGCCTCAGCTCCCCCTCCCTGAGCACCAGCAGCTGCCCGAGATCCCTGGGTTTGGCCTGTTCGGGTGGGGTGTGAGTGCCTGCAGCCCCCAGGGCCTAGTGCCCAGACTGTCTGTCTGCCCCGCCGGGACGGGAGGAGTAAAATGGTACGATGCCTTCCTGACCTCACCTGGCCTGCCCTGTGGGGCGCTGGCACTCCGGGTGGACTCTGCACCACGGGCCCGACCTCCAAGGTCAAGCTGGACGTCAGACGTCGAGGCCCAGGTGGCCAGAGGGGCCCCGGCAGACGGGGGTCCAGGTTTCCGCCTGTCAGACAGGCTGTCCTGGAGGCCCTGCCCAGGTCTGTGGGGTTCGAGCAGCTCTGCCAGGACCACCCTCACCCCCACCCCCTTTTGTAAATCTTGTTAATTGTAAATCAAATACAGCTGTCTTTTTCACTCTGCTGGTTGGCTGGGTTCCTCCTGGGGCGGCCACCGACTGGCTGTCTGTGCTTGCCTGCCCCTGTTCCCAGGCCTGTCCTGCTTAAGATCTTCCTCTGTGGATATTAGCTCAGGTGGGCAGGTGGTTCCTCTGGGCCACCAGGGCTGCGGTGGGGGCAGGGGAATGTGCAGCGGAGTCCACACCCTCCCTGCCCTCCCTGCCCTCCCTGCCCTTGGCCGGGATCCGCCAGCCTGGGGCGAGGAGGTCTGGAGCGTGGAGAGGGGCTGACGGTGATCAGATTGGCTCCAGACGGGGACAGGGAGGGGGACAGGGAGGTGGCTGGGGGGGGGGGGGGGGTGGCTGGGATTGGGTGGATCTGGCGCCATCTGGTGGCGAGACATTCCCCGCCTGTCTTGCCTGGGCTGAGTGACTGGACCTGCCCCCCACCCACAGGGGTGGGCGTGGCTTGGGATTACTGTCTGGACCTTGAGCTCTCAGGGACCCGTGTCCCCTTTTCTAAGGTGGGGGTACTTCACCGGCATGGTCCAGCCAGCACACATTAAGTCACTGCTGTGTGCAGACCCCACCAGACACTGGCATGACTCTGGGAGAGAGGGCCCTGGGTCCCCCTGCTTAGGCTGTGGGGCCATTAGGGTCAGCTCCTTGGTCCCAAGAACAGCTCCAGGATGACTTAGGACATAAGTAAGTCTGAAGGGCCATGTAACAGAGAGTGAGGGTACCTTTGCCAATGCCTGAGGGAGGGGGTTGTCTGGGATTCTGGTGATAGGGAAAGGGTGTTGCTCCCAATCCCCGTGTTGCATGCAGGGCTACAGCAGTGAGACAGGCCACCCCACAGCTATCAGGCACACATACGTGTCCACGCACACACAGCATCAGCATGTCGGGCCCTTCAATGAATAAATACACACTGTTCAGGGCCTGCCCTGGGAGAGCTCTTAATGCTCCAAGGACACCAACCCAGCAGAAAGGGGATTTGGTGGCTCCAAAATAAGGACATGGTGGTGGTCTGGCCAGCCTCAGATATGGCTGGATTCAGGTGCTCACATGTTTCCAGATGTCTGAACTGCTTCCCAGCATATGCTGCTATGTCCTCAGACAGTGGGAATGCTGTTCACGGGCAATCCCAGACTGTGTCTCCTCGACTTGGGGCATTGCTGTGGCTGGGGATGGGCCAGGCCTTGATCATAAGCCACCTGTGCACGGGGGCAGCCCCACTGAAGCCACATGGGACAGGTGTGGATATCTCCCACAAGGAAGGGGTACTAGACAAACAACTGACATCCCCCATCCCAGGAACCCCAAAATGACACGGTTATGACCCACACTAGGTTCCCCGAGATTCAGCTGTTCAGAAGCAGGTGGGGCACAGTCTGGAAGTGCTAAGCTGTGGATGCTGGGGGCAGGGAGGTGGGAACCTAGAGCACTGGGCTTCCAGACTGGACCTCCACAAGCCGCTCTTTTCCCCCCGCAAACTGGACAGCCAGGCAAGAGCTGAGTCAGGACCCCCTTACATCCTGTGAAGCTTAGAGAGGAAGGGGCTGCAGATCCAACAGATGGGGTTACGCCCCCCATGGAGGACAGGAGTGTGAAGAGATCTAGGGGGGCTGTCCTTTCATGGGGCTGGTGAAGGGTAGAAATGGGGCATGCATGTTGGGGTATGAGGTGGCGGTGGTGGGGGTCAGGCCAGCTTCGAATAGTCAGGATGCTGACAAACTGAGGGATGACCCAGCTTCCTGTTTCCACTTCCCCATTTCCTCCTCATGTGGGGGGCAGGGAGGCAAGGATGGGAGGAAGCCACACACAACCTCAATGACCTTTCCTTCCAAGTTGCAGAAAACGGCCGAAGGCCATGCCCTGCTTGCTAAACATCAAGAACAGCCCCCCGTCACCTGGCCCCCATGACAGGATGTTGTTCTGACCTCAGAGAGAAGTGCGGCCAGGAGACTAGTAGGTGGCCAGAAAAGGGTGGCCTGGACCAGTGGAGGGGAAAGGTGAACATGGAGACAGGAGTGGGCTCTTGATATTGAGGGGCAACTGAATCCCAGGGGAGGGTGGGGGGAGGCAGGGATGGGGGTCCTCAGGCCCAGGGCTGATGTCCGGGGAGGAAGCTCTTTGGCCTGGCTTCCCCACTTGTGCTCCCGCTCACACCTGAAGCACCTGCCACCCTGCCACCCCCCCCCACACATACCCTGCTGCTCTCTGCTCCGCGCCACCCACTTCTCTGGGCTTAGGCCTCTCACCCAGACCAAGCGACAGTTGTTCTGGACCTGGTGGCCAGGATGGTGCTGTGAACATGTCCAGCAGGGCTCCCCAACAGCCTGAGAACAAAAATGAAATCCCTGCTGTGGCCCCACCCAGCCTGCCACAACCCTCCAGCCCACCACCATCCTTTTCTGTTCCTCAAGTCGGGCAAAGTCCTGGAGAGTCAGGACCGTGGACGTTTGGCCCAGCTCCACCGGTGTCTCCTCTCCAGGGGACTGCTGGACCTGTCCGGCCCTGTGTCCTCTCCCCACCCTAACCACCACCGGAAACCCCCTAACAACCCCTCTGCACTATTACAACCCCGACCCTCCCCAGAAGGCAGCTTGGCCAGGATCCGCCAGCCTGGGGGCCAGGTGCGCACCGGGGATGAATCATGAGGGAGGGCCTCCGCTCCGCCCGACTCGCTGAGCTGGGCCCGGGCTCCCCTAGGGGCGGCACCATCCCACCCCGCGCGGGGGAGGAAGGGCGGGGCCTGTCGCCATGGGAACCTGGCCCGGGCCGGCGCAAACCAAGGCCACTCCCCTTATGCCCGGCCGCGCGGCCAGCGCCCACCGCCTGCCGCTGGACGAGCCTCTTCCCGGCCCGGAGCTGAAGCTACACCGACTCCGCACAAAACCCCGGCGCGCCTCTGCCGGCTCGGGGAACGCACCGCAAGGGCCGGGACTCCCAAGGAGGCGCGGAGAGGGGCGGCTGTGGGAGGGGACGCTGGTGTCCTCCCCCCATCACCGCCCGGCCGACACCGGCTCCCAGAAGGGAAACTGAGGCTGGGGATGGCTCGGGACTTGGCCGAAGTCGTGCAAGGCTGGCCGGCTCGACTGGGACGCGGCTCACGCCACGGTCCGCGTTCGCTGGGCAGTTATGTTTGCCCGGTATTGCGTTGACATGTTTTATTTTAATCTGGCTGCCAATATTTAAAATCAGGAGATTTCACATAAAAACCCGGGCTTTAGTTTGTCTGGAAGAGGTAGAAGGTCGGGTAACACAGCCCGATTGCCCACGTTCCTGGGAAACGGCAGGCCCCCCAGTGCTCTCCCCACAGAGGGTCAGGGGGCATCTGTCACGGGGGCAATGCTGTCTCCGAACACTTGTCACTTTTAAGTGGGAAGTAAAGATGCGCGGGCCCAGAGCGCTAGACAGATGCGGGGAAGCTGTCTTGCTGGAATGAGAACATTCCCCTGTCAGTGACAGCAGCCTGTGAGAAATCATCCTTCCAGGCTATGAGAGGACGCGAGGAAACGTGTCGTTCGCGGAGGAGGAACTGCGGTTATGTACCGGAGGAGCTCCTCAGTACCTAGGAAAGTCAGGGTGGGCTTCCTGGGAGAGGTGAACAGCTGAGGCAGGCGGGGTTGAAAGGAGGAAAGGTACCAGGAACCAAGAAGGACCCGTTTGGGGAATAGCCTTTTATGGGTACAGAACCTCAAAGGTCCCCTGGTGCCGCCGCTGTCCCTGGTCCTGACAGGACTGGTTCCCCAGGCCTGACCAGGGCGGGAGGCCGCTATCGGTCCACGGAAGTTTACCAGGTGACAAACCACACCGCCAGGGCCAGAACGGCCTCCAAGGGAGAGGGAAGCCGGCGAGCCCAGGATCCAGGGCGCGTCCATCTGCCCACCCCACAGGGGGACCTATCCAACCAAACGCCCAGTTTTTCTATATTGATGAAAAAAATCTCTGCCCTGGCTTTTTTGATTGTGAGGGTTCCCCTTCATTTCTGAGGGAGCAGGCTGCGTGGGGGGCGTCGTGCAGGGCCCGGAGCAGGGGGTGGGAGAGGAGGAATGCATGCACCGGAGGTACAGGCACGGGTGCCGGCAGGGGAGGGTGCGGGGAGCGGAGGCTGGTGAGAGGCGGTGGCGTCCTGGATGGGGCGGTGCCCGGCCGAGCACAGAATGCGGGCGGATACTTGGGGAAGTGCGGACCCCAGGAGGTAGAAGCGGGCTGGGCGGCGAGCTGGACGCCGGCCGTCCCTCCCCCTGCGCGGGCGCAGCGGCTCCGGCTCCGAGCTGGGGAGGGGACAGCAGGGCTGGTTCGCGCCGGGCCGCCGCCAGGCAGGGGCAGGAAGCCGCACGTCTGTCCCCGCGCAACGCCC